CTTTTGAGGATGTCAATGGCATCATCATAACACTCTTCAGTCGCTTGAAGGCCTTCAGTCGCAGTTGCCGCTATACCACTCAGTAGGTTTCGTAAGTATTGAAACTTCTCTCCCTTCGTGAGCCCTTCATTCTGGTGAACCGATGCCTTAAATTGTTCCCAGGATCCAGGCCACTTGCAAACTTCTCCGGAGAATGCCTGCAACTGAAGTGCTGGTAGCCTTATGGATCGTTGGGCAAGCGTTTCGTCCCGCTGCTGAACAATAGGCGTTGCTATCAGTGGCGCGGAGATTGACGAAGACCGATTAAGTTGAAGTTGCGCCTGTCTAGCCTTTAATTCTCCGAGCGTGCTTCTGGCAGTATCTTGATACCTCATGACCGCTTCTGATTCCGCAGCGAATTCATCGTCAGTGACGTACACCTCTATCAGCTCATTCAACTTGTCCAATTCTGCGTTGTTCGCTTCCAGTCGTTCGACTAGGGATGCTATGGAACCGATATTGTCGCTTTCTAAAACGCTCTTAGCTTCGTTGACAAAGCGCGTATTCATTTGTTGACGCGATGCGCGCTTTCCTTTTAGGCGGTTCATTGTCTCTCTCACGGCAGTAATTTTTGTTGCTCACCTTCTCATTCGTAGCGTGGAACTGGCGTTCACTTGCGTTGGTGGGGATACTAGGAATCGCAGTACCTGCCTGGCTTTCTGTTGCACAGGTGAATGTGTCGGCATATCTTTCACCGACGGCGTTCGGCAAAGTCCTCTACTTGCTTTCCGAGTGGCTGTCTTCCATTAGGGGGTTCCTGGCACGAACTCCCGACGTGTCTTCGGCTGACTCCGACTAATTTACCGCAAAGGGAAGGGCGCACCGCATTTCCTCCCCGCGCCACTATGACACGTGTTCATGTGGAGGAAGCCCTGCACAGTCATTGGCTGTGCGCCGATGATGTATCACCGACATCATGTCAAGCAGTCAAAGTGGGCTTGCCTTGCCTTTCCCATCGCAGAGAAGGGTGGCGAATGCCACGCAAGAACTTGAAACCAGCTGAAACGCATGTTCTAACCCGTGTACCTTTCCCATTACAGCACGTATTCACAGAATTGTAGCGGCAGCATATTCACATAGCAAAAGTGCAAGTATTTCTCTTCATTACAACTTTCGAACCTTTGGGTTGTTTACTGGCTCTTTAAGGAGAGTTATCAGATGACAGTATAACAGAAGCAAAGCATGCAAAGGCTGCGGCTTTAATGGCATCTTTGTATGGTACTAATGATACTTGCCCAAGCAGCAGCACTGCTTTACTTAATCCAGTCCAGTTCATGAGCCAAATGTTCCAGGTCAATAAGAGAAAGAACATGCCATTCCAGTTTCCGGATAGGGAAGCAAGCGAGATCCAAACGGTACTTCGATGCTCATCTGAAAGCCATGACAGCACAGCACCGCAGCAAGCGATAGTAAGCACCAAATCGACAGGCTACAAGAGTGACCACTATATTGGCCCCTGCTACACAGCAAATTTTCAGCATTACGATAATGACACTGTCAACATTTGCTCCTCAACCCAATAACTTAGCCAACGTAACTTCAACACCAATAATGCGCGGCACGCGAAGCACGGCAGTGCAGTGATAAAAACCGCCTGAACAGCTGATCCAACGCGGTCAATATCGTGCTGACGGAAGCTGCATGGCACTCACGTGACCGAAAACCGGCCGGATCTCGCAATTGCCCCCGACGTCATCGGTGGGTGCTCCATGTTGGATTCCAGCAATCTGAAAGAACCAACCGGTTGTAGCCGGAGTGCTACGAAACGACAACCCAAAGATGCCTTTAAAGTATGCCTCTACACAGTTGCACCTTTCGGAGTGTATTCATGTCACACAATAATCATAGTCATCGATCTTGCATGCGTTCACTCTCATTGCCAAGTGCCCAATACTTCTTGGTCATGAACAGCATGCATGCCATCAATGTTGTTTAGTAGCTTGTTCTTAGCAAAGCAGCGATTACCGTTTTCAGGAAAAAATGAAGCCAGATTACCGATGACAACACACTTTAGAGGGGGGAAACATTTTACTCTAAAAGCAAGGGGCACAATTAAGGTAGTCTTTGTCCAACGGTAGTAATCTGGCTTGCTCGCGTTTTTTTTTTTCTCTTAAAACTCCACTTGCCACTTTCTCGTCAATAAAATTCTCATGCTGATACAATGCACACTTTTGCAGACATGGAAGTACCACGAGTGTCTATATGCAAAGAAAAAAGTAATTAAAAGGGCTCGTTTTCATTGTTATACACAATTATAATGAGAACTAACAGACAATGAAGCCAAGGAAAATGTAGGGGATGTTAAAAGTAATCATAGTGTAAATAGAAAAGAGGATGAAAAGGCAACATTTATAAAACCATCCCCTTCTTTTGGGCATGTCCATTAGTTGCTATATGAAAGAAAAGTCTTACAACAAAGATGAGGCATTACTGGCCAGAAGGATGCCCTAAATACACCCTATTGCTTTAGAGTAGTAACAAGAGTGGTTATAAGAGTGCGCTATTCACTTATAATCTGTCCTCTGCATGACGTTCGGAAAGCGATGTTCTTGCACCTAATGGTAAAATGCAGAACTACTATCTCAAACATAATTTCAGCGCATATTTGATTTGAACTTGTATCATTAGATTACTCTGTAACCACTCTGCAGTGGTATACTATCTCATCCTGCACATTTTCCTGCATTACTCTGCGTTTTCTTGAACACGATATACACCAGAAACCTGGATATAACAACATATAGTTTGTAACAAGGTAAATCACGAATAGTCTTTCAATAACTATAGTGTTAAGAATACTTTTCTAACAAATTTTTGGATATGACAAACTTATTTTCATGCAAAATGCAACGTTGCTATAACGAGGTTTGAGTGTGTGCACTCCAACTTCTTCCACGTGCTTCAGCCATCAGTACTGAACAGTCTAGGCCAGCTGAAATTTATACGGTAGATTATACCGTAAAATAAAAATGTGACATTCTGTCATGTTATTCAAACAGCCTTGCATTTAGCCACCTTCAGGGTGCAGCCACAACCCAGCTATTTTACATGAAGCCTGCCAATAAAGCATTAGCGGCTACTGAACCATCACAGTGGGTTAGTTGTTTTAATTTTAACCACAGAGTCTGCTTTACCACTGAAAGTAGCCATTTCTTGTATTCCACTACAAAATGTGGAGGCCACAGAGAAATCAAACAGTATACATTGTAGTCAACTCAAATGCATGCCTGCTGACATGCAAATGTTGTAGTGTCAATACCCTCAAACACTGAAAGAGTGAAGCGGTAACAGCATACATTTTTTAAAAGTACTAGCAGAACTTCGTTTCTCAATGAAATCTCCATTGCAAACATTTTTCATGCCAGCGTGCACTACAAAGAACATGCAGCTACGAGCGATTGCCGAATATGTGGACAATGTCTAGCTATTGAACATTCAGACAGTGAAGTCTGCCACAAAGAATTTATACAGCTGTGTCAAAAGTAGTTAAGTTTCCAAAAATTAACAAAATAAACGATGGGATGCTCTGGGCTACAGAGAAGCGAGAAATTGCAAGTGCTCTCAATAGAAAAAAATTATATTTCGTCATCTATTCCACATCATTGAGGGTGCTGCGCTGCAATGCTCGAAAGACTATAGCAGACATCACGAATCCTTTGGTTACACAGCTTCTGTAGAAGGCTTAGAACTGCACTTTCACTGCAAGTCTCGCATGGCCATTTAGCCAGGGATACAGCCAAAGCCAGAGTAGGCATCCTTGGAGAGTCCTTTTACAATACAATTTTCCCCCCCATCTCTCCTGGTTTCCTGGCATTATCACAGTGTCCCCTTCTAGCTATCAGTGCAACATATCACTCTTGATTGTGAAGTTTGAGAAAGAAAAGAAGGAAGCCAGATAAATGTGTCTCAAAAAGGCTTCACATGTACACACCCATTTTGCTAGGTGTTCAAATTTCTATTTTAGTTCAGCCAGAGCATGCATTTTTATCTGAAGCGTGCATTTCTTGCAGCTGTTATTTTTAATACTTTCAACACAACAAAACAACCAAGCAGCAGTTTACTTAGAAAGGTAGGGCGAATCATAACCATGTGCTCACTAATTTTACCATTATCAGGAACATATAAAAAATATTTGATCATCCGTAGCCCATCCCCCTATGTATTCAGAACCAGAATGCTAGAATCTGAAAAGCTTGGTAGGAGACAGTTTCTTTTATTGCCCCATTTTATAATCACCCGAATTTCGGAGTGTTAAAGGGGCCCTGCACAACTTTTTGAGCATGGTCAGAAAACACCAATTGGTAGTAGAGGCTCCTGACAACACTCGAGTCAAATACAGTGCAGCACACAACCTGGAATTCACAATAAATTATCAGTTGGCTCTAAGCTGCTCTCTTCTCTCGACAAATCATGTCATATGGCCAAAAATCACACGTCCATGATCCATCTATCAGCCATAGGCTAATATGAACATGGCACGCTCGCTTGTTAGAGATCGCCGCGGGAGGCCACTACTTGTCCAAGGGTGCGCACGCTATCACATTAAAAAAGCCGCGCATTTGAAAAAAAAAGTGCTCAAGGTCGCAAGGTGCGCATGACGTTTTTGTTTGCCCCTCCCATCCCTCCCTGCTTAGCTTCCAGCACTATCATCGGGACGAGTAAAGAGAGAATGCGATTGCAGCATGCGATAACCCTTTGTAACTCCACTCCCGCTGAACAGATCTTAAGATTTTTGCGGCATTGAATTCGCGAGGCAATAAGCTCTTCCAGCGAATTCATTCCATGGTTACTTGAAAAAGTGTTTCAGGGCCCCTTCAGGATACCAGAAATAGCCACCAAGGCAGGCCAATAGGCTCCTAATTCACAACGCAGTGGACAATGCACGAAATGCGTGCACCAAATGGTTAGGGTCTCCACAATCGCACACCATCCACTTTGAACAGAGAGGCACAGCAACCACATTGCACAGTTCATCAGCAAGTTTAATGCATACCACAAACAGGGGGCCGGTGCTTACAGAGTCCCATGGTGAAACGTACAGATAGAGATGGCAACGACAATTGTCCCTTGATCTCTGCTAGCTTCCTCACATGCCGTTGATGGCCAAAATCTGGATCTCGAACTGCAGGTCTGCATTCGGTGGGATCGTGCAACAAATGGGTTAAGGCAATAATGATACTGGCACACAAGCACTCACCCATCCAACTCGCTGCGAGGCACATGCAAGACATGTTTACATCTTGGAAGCACTACTGCACTTATCTAAATTGCCACACTCCCTAGGTGCTGCACCGAATTGTAATGAAAAAAATTCTAGAAAAAAATGCGGGCAGTTTGTACTATGTTGCGCAAAGCTCGATACAGCGAAGCTGGCACATTCCTAGGTCATCGTGCTGCAGCACGGGACTCAATCACGGCGGCAATGGGATACAACATGCTTGGCTGAAGAAGCGACAGCCCAGAGACTGATTAGCGAACCTTCAATAGGCTCAAAGCTTGCCACTCTCTGAAGCTACTGTCCCCGAGCCACGGTGCAAGAAACTACGAAAGTCACTATGGTGAAAGCAGCTTCTCGGCACGGCGACAGTTGGCCATTTTAAGCCCAAGCGGCATGCTAATGCGGCGGTTGCTACGACAACAGTGGTTGTTTTTGTTAACGGACGTCATACTGGCAACTTAACAGCTTTAATGTCAGAACATATCTCCAGCATGAACTACGAAATTTCATTCGCCAATCGAGATGCATGTGCCGTATCATGGCAGGGACTCGCAAACAGCTCCTGCTACCTTAGTGCGCACTGTTGAATGTCAAATTTTTTGTGTATGAAATGTTGCTTTGCTCACTGCCGTAGCTCAATTGACAAAGGAGTTGGCTACTACCCTTACTTAATACAGCATATTAATTTGGTGCTATTACATTATTGCTTCACCATTGCAGGAAAAGTGGCTCTCATTACCTTGTCGCCAAATTATCTGACAACAGACTCCCGCCTCTGCTAACAAGGCACTGTGTCAAATAAAACAGTGCAACCAACTGGCAAGAATGTTGCCTTCAGCTGCTGTGCTGGCCTCGGAGATCAAATGCTGCAGTGTTAAGTCTCGAACGATACGCTGCAATGTCGTCACATGGCAGCAGACCACCTATTCGATGATATTAGCTGTTTTAAGCAATCACGTCAACTGACGCAATCAGTACTTGGGGGGAAAGAGACGTTGGGAGAGAAGCTCTTTACGCAAGAGTAAAAAAAAGGATATCCCCATGCTGGAAATCCCTGAGCGCCGTATGCCTTGAGGCCGCAGATGGTGAGGCGCGACAGCTCGTGCTTCTGCATGGACAGGCAGCCTTCATCCCAGCCGCGGATCACTTCGCCAACTCCCACACGGAAGGAGAATGGTTGCTGCCCAGGGTCACGGGTGCTGTGCGCAGAAAAGAGGGTAGGAAGGGAGGAGACATGCTACAAGGAGTGCAAGGACACATTCTTGCACGAAACACACGGGTGACAGCACTGGCTCAGTAAACAAGATGCTGGAAAGTATGAAATAATACACTTGTGCTGCAAGTAACGCAAAAGACGAGATAACAGAGAGTTTGCTTTTGTTTATCAGAACCATGTGAATCCAAAAAAAAATTAAGTTTTGGAAATGGTAGGAAAACTTAACAGACATTACCTATGATCTAATGTGACCTTGCCTATATATTTTAACATCTTGCGTTATTTTTTTTTCGCTGCTTAATTTCCTGTTGGCTTTACACGATTGCTAGTCTGGAGAAGCGGCTTACAGGGTTGATTTTGATTGATATGTGGGGTTTAACGTCCCAAAACCACCATATGATTATGAGAGACGCCATAGTGGAGGGCTCCGGAAATTTAGAACACCTCGGGTTCTTTAACGTGCACCCGAATCTGAGCACACGGGCCTACAACATTTCCGCCTCCACCGGAAATGCAGCCGCGCAGCCGGGATTCGATCCTGCGACCTGCGGGTCACCAGCTGAGTACCTTAGCAACTAGACCACTGCGGCGGGGCGGCTTACAGGGTCTGAACGAATGTTGTGCTTGCCAGGAACAAAACGTTAACGTCATGTTAACATTTTGTCAGAATGTTAACGAAGTGAAGCTTTTGTGGCTCAATGCTTGATCAGCATCAGCCCAGTTACTTGAAATGTAGGACGAATAAGTCTAATTGGAACATTCTTAGCTTATCCTTTCTATCTTGCATCTGAAAGCTTCCCTTTGATGCATTCCAATAAAAATATCTAGGGTTCAAAAACAGATATAACTGTAGCAGAGGGCTTTGGAAAATTTGACCACCTTAGGTTCTAGATGTGTACTCATACTGCACAGGCCTCCTACCACTTTGCCTCCATCAAAATGTGACCACCGTGGCGGGGCTCAAACCTGTTACCTTCGGGCCGGCCACTGAGCACTGTGTATCCACTGCTCCACCTTGGCCGATGCTTGACACGCATTCTGCAACATTTATTTGCCCCACACATTACACGATTGTGCATGTGTATATATATATATATATATATATATAGAAACTAGCAATTTGTTTTTCTCGGTCTTCAAGGAAGCCATCGTTTACAAAAGCATTATGTAGACCATACTATGGGATCTCAGGGGAAACATGCAAGAAAGCACACTAAAAAAAGAGGATGTAGTGACGACCGAGGTACAAAGATGTGCAGCCATTGCGAACTGCTAGCTTGCTCAATTCCCTGGAAGTGAGAGCACATGGATGCCAGCAGAGACCCTTGCGATTTACATCCGATAAAGGTAGTACAATGTAAAACTGCACAGAATCCCCCACACAACTAGGACGGAGATTGTAATCCAGCTAAGAGATGCAGTAGTCCTGCAATTTGAAAGCCCTGTCAAGAGAAAGAGTAACTCAAAGCTGTAGGTGTCCCTCAACCTTTTTAAAGACTTTATTGCCTTTGATGTATGGCTGGGCTGCATTAGCCATGTTTTACGTACCTTCGGAGCCTGTAGTAACTTAATCACGTAGCAGCGACCGCAGTTTCGTGCGTGGAGGTTGCGCCAAACGATAGTTCAATTTTCAATCCGCATGGCAACCGTCATACGAAAAGTGACACAGTGAAGTCCTAAACAATGGCCTGTGCCCATAACTCACTGCCACATATCTGCGGACGCGCCAAGGTAGTATGAACATGCAGAGAGGAAAACTATAAAAGACAGAAGCCATTGAGTAAACTAAATCTAGCAACTTTATTAAATGAGGAAGCTTCTGCTGATAAGAGTACACAGCATCCTCTCGTACGAGCGAAACACATAATAAAGCCATTTTCATGGCCTCCGTGACTACGCCTTCATGCGAGAGCCAATTGCGAAGGCCCTGCTGTCTTCATAGAAAATTTCATTTTACTTTATCCAAAATATATTTTTGTAAAATTTTAAGCAAGATAATGAAAGCAAGGTCAAAATGTGTAGATTTTACAGAAACTTTGGAATGGTTGGCAGGTGTGATCATTGCTTAACACAGGTGAACTTCAACGTCCAAGTATTGCAATGATGGAAGAAAAAAATGCTGATGCGTGCTGGTCAGCAAACAGAGCTTAGAAAGTTCAGCAAGGTTTTAGTGCTACTGCTGGAAGCATCAACCAAGCACAGTGGGCGACAGCTAAGAGCATGGCAGCACAAAATACCAGCCCCACTAGCAGCATCGGGTAACATCAACATGCCACCGTTTAAAAGAAACTGGAGTTGACTGATGCCGGTGTCTTGACAACACCTTCAACAGCAGGCTAAATAGAGTTATTACTCAGTTGCCTAACACTCATAACAGTCTAATTGTGTCATTAGGCAGAGCCTTCTAAAGAACCATGCTTGGCTCAGCAGAAAGAGAAGCAACGGCTTCAGAGCCCACAACAGCATTTGGACGCGCTGCAATTCACCTGTCCTGCTTCTCCACAGAAGCAAGTGGAGCGCATGGTAACTTGCCCAACTCAGAGTGCCGCATTACCTTGATTCAAGCATCAGAAGAGCATGCAGAGATTACTATATCAATAATACAATTGTGAGCAGACAGCAAATCATGCTAATTCTGGTCTTGAACTTCGCACGTACTCCAATTTAGTTTCAAGACAGCAAATTGTTTGCAAAAAAAACAAGAGCTGACCAGACTGTTCATGCATCATGCAAAAAAGAGGATGGTTTCGCCGCATCTGGTCTGGCAAACAATCGCACAGAAAATGTTGCAGAGCTAGGTGGTTTATAACCAGAGGACAAAATGTGTGGTGCTAGAAAGACTGGGACAAAGGATGAATCGATGTTCATGGTTGCCACACAAGGTGTCTTCGCTTTCTTGCAATATATTACATGCGGCACCCCAACTTTGCCAGCGCCCAATGTGCATCAGCCTAAAGTAAATAAACACTGCTAAAGTTATTGAAACAGGATATATAACTTTTGTAGTCTTAATTATATTTCCGGAAGTCTTTCTCAGTCACAAAATTTTGAGGGGAAAAATAATGCAGCTGTTCTACTTGCGCTGAACAGTGCACCGCACAAACATGTATTGAAGGACAAGCTATTTGGAGCAACTTTATAAAATTGGGATATCCCTGCCGCCCTGGAGTTCTCGATTTTCCCGTGCCAATTTGAATATTTTCCCTGTTACACCGAAACTTCAAATGCGAGTGACCAAATAGTTTCACTTAGAAACCATGCACCTTTCTTCCAGCCAAACTCTAACTGGCAAGAATTTCTGTAAAAGGTCTTCTTGGCATTTATGACGCATAGACATTGAGCCAACCCAATGCAGTAGGGCAATAGTTGCTAGACTGGCCAAGCCAACCAATAAGAGCCACCAGGGCCCATACTGCCCTATTGTGACCACAAATGCCCATTCACATTACGTGTATTGTGGATGCGCAACCTGAAGAAACGCGACTTGAATGGACATTTTCACAGAGGATCAGTAGTGTCCTATCACGCACAATATGAGCTACACTAAGCAGCCACGTGGCTGAGCACACTGCAAGGTTGCAGAGCGACGCCAATCATGGCATATTTTAGAGTTATCAGGAGAGAGTGGCTGCGCCCGAGAATGCAGCGCTCCCACTTGCTTGGTTTCACCCTTGCACCCCTTCATTACAAGAAGCTTTGCATTTATTTAGCCTAATTGAAGAAAATTTGAAGCTTCGACGTCAATCCAAGGCTGTAGTTATTTACGAAGCCGATATCCTGACAGAGCAAAAAGAGGGCGAGCGTCAAAGCAAGCAAGGGTGATGCGCACTTGCAGGAACAGACAAACCTCCCCTGATAACTCGAAAATACGTCCTGTTCGGCGCCAATCTACCACCTTACCGTGCGCTTGGCCATTCGCCGCTGCGGTACAGCGGATGCTGAGCAGGGCAGTACATTGTGCGACCCTTTTTGAACATGCACCTCGCAAAACTTGCTGCACTGGCTGAAATTTCACAAAACAGATTTTAATCAGACAAAATTATTGAACATGATTGTCATTGCACTGGTACCCATTCAGATGATAAGAGTATTGTTTACCATAAACTGTATTTACACATTTCTGTAGTAACAATGCGATGGTAAGAGCACAGCAGCAAGACTAACTTCTCCCGCCTAGTGTCATTAGCAGCGAGCAAGTCGAAGCCATATGTTTTGTGCTACCGACCCCCTCACCTATCGGCAATTACAAAGTGCCACCATCAGAAACAGTAGGCTCACCAAAGCCCCGAAGAAACACAGCCCAGGAATGGTTAGAGTGCTAAAGTTCTGCAGAATAGCTCAGTTACGCCTATGTAAGTCGCTTGTGATAGTAAGCGACATCTTGCTGGCTAAGCTAGGCCAATATTGGAGGCATCACTAGTCACAGAATGTAGAGAGCTATAACGGGCAGTTTAAGAGGAATTGAAAGACAAATATTAAATCGATGGGAACTGTTAGAATACTATTCCTAAAGCCTCACTACATTTGTTTCTCAGCAAAGCAAATCGTTTGCTTCTGACTGACCACACTGTCAAGTACATTTTAAAAAAGTTATTTTTCCAAGTATCAGACACATGCACAAGAAGTACTTCATTCCACCTCCCAATGTTCTTCAATGACCGGAAGCATTAATTTGTTGTTTGCCTTTAATGTTACTTTAACAGGGGCCAATCCTCTAGCGGTGGTCCAACACAGCACTGCAAATGTAAGCATGCACGAGCCATTAATACCTCGCACTGAAAAGCACTACATGTATAGACACCTAAATCTTTAGCTATTGCATGGGAGCAGCGACTTTTCTGTGCATCAGCACCATACTACAAAGCAGAGTTGCAAACGGGGAGAGGATAAACAGTGCACCGATAGCCTCTTCCTCAGCCTATCAGTGCACTGCATGACACACCCCTTTCTACTGTTTACCCAATCAGTGCGACAGTAGACGTA